ACACTCGGGGCGTTGGCCTAAGGAACCCTAAAAAAGGAAAGAGGCCCCTTGCTCCCATAAATTAAGCTTTGATTTCCCATGGAAAACGAAAGGAAAACCAAGGGCAAACTGTACAGCCATCAAAGAACACCGAGCCCTCCCCAACGAAAAGGTTTCCTTCTTCAGCGCCCCGACTGTATTGGCCTCGTAGCAACTCGGCAGGACTCGGGGGCCTCTGGGGCGCCTCTCGGGGCCGTCTTGGAAGCCTCTTGGGTGCCTCCGGGGCCCTCGACGGTGGCGACCATCGTGTTGCATCTTTCGGGGGGGCCTTGTCTATCCCGTCGCGCCGCGATTCGCATCGAACCCGTGCCGAATCCACGTCGAGCGTGCCGAACCCGTGTTGAATCGGTGCCACATCTGTGTCGAATCCACGTCGAGTTCACATCGAATGCACGTCGAATGCACGTAGGAGGACAAGAAAAGACTGCCGTTCACAGGGCGGGAAAGGTCCCCGATTTGAACAAATAACGACACGAAGTCGGCGGACATCAACCGTCCACCTCACCGATCTGGGCGTGGCCGGGCCGTGGCCCAGGATCGGTGCATGTGCCTCCTTGGCCAAGCCAGGAATGTCAGCTTGTGGTTCACAAACCCGTGGGGGGCGCGTGTTTTAAAAAATAGTTCCCCTGCTCGGGCGAGTCGCGGGGTGGCGCCCGCCAGATTGAAAATCAACGGGGCGGCGCTGGTGATTAGCGCTGACGCCCAGCCGCCGACGAGGGGAAGGGGGGTGGTGTTTGGAGGCAAGGGCGAGCCAGGGCGCCGCTCTTTCTGTCGAACCGATGCGGGCTTGTCGGCAAGGCGGGCTGGACGAAAGTGGGGCGCAGCAAAAGGGATTTGCCAAGCAGCTCACATCGCCGATTTTCCAAGCGCCTCCTGGCGCCGAAAGCGGCCATGCGTCGAGGACAGGCACTTTGGCGGGGCGACCGAAACCAGCAACAGGCTTCGCAACCCCCCCTTTCCTTCCCCAGCCTTTCGTCGTCGTCCTCCTCCTCCTCCTCCTCCTCCTCTTCTTCTTCCTCCTCATTCTCCTCCTCCTCCTCCTCCTCGTCCCCGTCCTCCTCCCCCTCCTCCTCCTCGTCCCCCTCCTCCTCCCCCTCCTCCTCCTCGTCCTCAACCTCCTCCTCATCCCCCTCCTTCTCCTCCTCCTCCTCCTCCTCCTCCTCCTCCTCCCTCTCCTCCTCCTCTTCCTCCTCCTCTTCCTTCTTCTCTCCTCCCTCTTCCTCCCCCCTGGCGCGCGTGATTAAAAAAAGTATCGCGCCCCGCGGGGTCTATTCATCAGCCCCAGGGGTGGGGCGTGGTCCGGCCATTTGTTAATCACGAACTGACATTAGGGCGTAACCATACACCGACCCAGGGCCAGGGATGGGCCCGGCCAGCATCGGCGAGGTGGATCGAACGGCCCCCGAAGGAGGCGCAAGCCGTGCGCCCACACGCGAGGAGGCTCGGGGAGGATCGAGGAGATCGATCTCCTCGATCCGGAACCCTCGATCCTCCTCCTGGAACCTTCTCGATGCTCGACCCGCGAACCTCCTCGATCCTCGAGCCTCGATCGGGGATCGAGGAGGTTCTAGCATTCGGAACTCGAGCTCCATCTCGGCCACTCCCTGGGGGCCTCCCCCGAGGGGCGACGGCGGCGCAGGGTCGGACCGCAGGCCGCGGCCCCCCGCGCGGCTGCGCCGGCCACCCGCTGCCGCGGACCCCGCAGAGCCCCGCGGCAGAAGCCGGGTGGGCCTGCTGTGGCCGCCCTCGGGCCCAAGGGGGGGTTCTGAGGAGCGACGCTCTCTCGGCGTTTCAAAGATGTTGGCGTCCTCGCCTTGTCTGGACTCCAGCGCTCCAAGACGGCCCAGGAGGGCCCCAAGAGCGCCCCCCCCAAGAGGGCCCCAAAACGGCCGAGCAGGCCCCCCGGGCGGCCCAATGGAGCTCCAAGAGGGGCCCCAGAGAGGCCAAAGAGGGGCGGCATCCTCGGAGGAAGGAGAGCAAGTCACCATATTTGAGCTTTCGAATGTCCGCTGGGACTTCCGGGATCGGCGCTGGGCCCGCGTGCCAGTGGCGGCACCCAGGCAGCCGCCACGGGGGAACCAGAGCCGATCCAAGAAACCCGCGCGGAGCTCCGAAAGCTTACGGGCATGCACTTGTCTGCTCTTCGAGCGGGTGTGGGAGGAATGACGGAGGATGAGGATGAGGATGAGGATGAGGATGAGGATGAGGGAGAGGGTGAGAATGAGTATGAGGATGAGGATCACTATGAGGATGAGGATGATGATGATGATGATGATGATGATGATGATGATGAGGAGGAGGAGGAGAAGGAGGAGGACCAGTGAGAACCCATCATCAAGGATGTTGGAATAAACCCTCCCTCCAAGCTCCCTCTGCAACAACCGTTTGAAGACCATGAAGAATGCCAAAACATTGTTGTCGGGATTCCAGCGCCACGGATCAACCTGACTGTTGCGTCTTGATGATCTTGAATCTCGCCAGAACACCATTCCTGGGATTTCAACACCGCGAAAAAACGTAACTGTTGCACCCTCATGACCCTGAATCCCTCCCAAACACGATTTCTGGTACGCTGATCATGGGAATCCGTGAAACCCTTGCGAAGTTTACAAACGAATGTGCGCGGCGCTAAGGCGAGAGCCACATGTTGAAAAGGAACCGTCCTCAATATGCGAAGCTCCTGCAATTGATTAAGACGAACGTGCGCGGCGTAAGGAGATATCCACATTTTGAACCGGAACCTCCCTCAATATGTGAAACTCCTGCAATGTTTTAAACGAATGTGCTCGGCGCTAAAACGAGAGCCATCTTTTAAAAACGACCCGCCCTCAGTCCGCGAAAATCTTACACATGTTTAAAGCGAATGTGCGCGGCGCTAAAACGAGAGCCACATGTTGAAAACTACCCGCCCTCCATCTGTGAATCGATTGTCACTCTTACGCTTCAGGTTCATGAATGGCGAGGAAATCTCAGGCGAAATGCTCGGACCGCCCTAAACACTGGCCTCGGAATAAGGAAAAGGAATGGAGGAGGAGGAGGAGGAGGAGGAGGAGGAGAAGGAGGGAGGACACGCAAGCCCAATGAAATCTGCAGCCAGCCGACAAAAAACTAGGGGACCACGAGATTCAATGGGCGACTCCCCTAGTTGCTTGAAGGCTCCGCTTGAAGGGACCCCCGTAGGTGGATGCCGTCCTGCAGTGAGAAGATTCACTGCGGTCACTCTCGCCCGGGAGGAGGGAAGGAGGAAGAAGAGGAGGACCCAAACCCCCGACGTTGTGTTTGTGCCGACCCCCGCCTCCCCAGACCCCCACAACGCGAGGGGGTCTGGGGAGGAAAAGGAGGAGGAGGCGGAGGAGGAGGAGGAGGAGGGACCTCTCCTCCCCTCTCCCCTTTGAGGTCATGATCTGGTCCTTCTCCCTCTCCCCCTCCCCCTCCCTTCGGTCTGTCGGTCACTTCCACCTTTGTTGCTGATGTCCCCACCAGCCGGCGACTCAACAAGGAGCGGTGCTCCAGGAGCAGCCTGGCTTTCGTTCGTTGGATCACCCCCCCCCCCCCCACGGCCGACCGGCCCTGGGGGGGGGGGGTCTGCGATCGACGATCCCTTCGCAGACATGCGACATCCTGATTGCATCTGATTGTTTCAATACGGCGTCCCTAGAAATCCCGACCCTTTCCCGGGACCAGTTTTGCATCCTGAGTCGTTGTTTGACGGTCCCGAGGCCCGGCGAGGGCTCACAGGGGGCGAACGCGGCCAAGACCCCCCCCCGCCCTGATGCATTTACGACGCGACCATGTCTGAGCTAGCCACCAGGAACAGGAACAGGAACGGGCAGAGGAGGAGGAGGAGGAGGAGGAGGAGGAGGAGGAGGAGGAGGAGGAGGAGGAGGAGGAGGAGGAGGAGGAGGAGGAGGGGGGGAGGAGGGCAAGCTAGGTGCGCTCGCGTCATATCTGACATCCTACCCCTCCCTCCCACCCCTTACCATGGCGTAGATCCCCTCTCTACTCGCACAGTCGGATGTCGAGCAGGGCAATGATCCCGAAAGGGTACGCGATGCATTGTAGAGCACGGCGTAGAAGAGCACCGCAAACCGTAGTACGTCACAGCATGGCGTGGCGTGGCGTAATGAAGAATTGCATCACAAAGTTTTGCAACGCAAAGCATGGCATCGCACAGCGGCCCCGAACATGACATTGCATAGCATGGCGTTGAAGATCAAAGCGTAGCATGGCATAGCACGACGTGGCACTTAAGCACTGCATATCACAGCTTCAGCTGAAGGCATGGCATCGCGCAGCGGAACGCAACCTAGCATTGCATTGCATGCCGTGGCATGGCACGGGAAATGACGCCAGCGCTGCAGCGGGAGCACGATTCGGAACGAGCGGAAGCGCGGAAATGAGGCCAGCGCTGCAGCGGGAGCACGATTCGGAACGAGCGGAAGCACGGAAATGAGGCCAGCGCTGCAGCGGGAGCACGATTCGGAACGAGCGGGGCCCGAAAATGAGGCCGGCGCCTCAGCGAGAGCAGCATTTTGAAAAAAATGCCAGCGAAAACCCAACTCCGGGGAATCCTGTGTAAAAAACAATACGCGGGGGGGGGGGGGGGAACATCCCAACCGTCATCAGGGGAAGGAGGAGAGTAGTATTCATATGGCTGTTTGAGAAGGTGGTGGAGAAGGAGGAGGAGGGGAGGGGGAGGAGGAGGAGGAGGAGAAGGAGAGGAGGAGGAGGAGGGGGAGGAGGAGGAGGGGAGGAGGAGGAGGAGAGGAGGAGGAGAGGGAGGGAGGAGGAATGGGAGGAGGAGGAGGAGGAGGAGGAGGAGGAGGAGGAGGAGGCGGAGGAGGAGGAGGAGGGGGACGAGGGGGAGGAGGAGGAGGAGGAGGAGGAGGAGGAGGAGGAGGAGGAGGAGGAGGAGGAGGAGAGGAGGAGGAAGCAGGAGGAGGAGGAGGAGGAAGAGGAGGGGAAGGAGGAGGAGGAGGAGGAGGAGAGGGAGCCGCTGCGCCACCCGACCCGCTCTGGGCGCGCTCCCGCCCTCGCAGCACCCCCCGCAGCTCGCCCGCCAGGTCGCCCAGCAGGGGCGACGCCCGCAGCCACTGCTGGCCCTCCTGGCACGAGCCTGAGGGGGAGCGATAGGGCCTCCTCGTGCTCCTCCTTCTCCTCCTGCTTCTCCGCCTCCTCCTCCTCCTCCGCCTCCTCCTCCTCCCTCCCTTTTCCTCCTCCTCCTCCTCCTGATCCTCCTTATCCTTCCTCCTTACTCCTCCACTCCTTCCTCCTCCTCCTCGTTTTTCTCATCCTCTTTTTCACTCCTCCTCCTCCTCCTTTCTCTCTCCTCCTCCTTTTCCTGCTCCTCCTGTTCCTTTTCCTCCTCCTCCTTCTCCTGCCCCTCCTCCTCTTCCTCCTCGTCCTCCTCCTGTTCATCCTCCTCCTCCTCCTTCATCATCATCATCATCACCATCATCATCCCTCCCCCACCTCCATTGTCCGGCCCCATCCTCTTCCTCCTCCCGTTCCTCCTCCTCATCCTCTTCCTCATCTTCCTCCTCCTCCCCCCCTCCGCTCTCCCTCCCTCCCTCCTCCTTTCCTCCCCCCTTCCGTCCCCCTTGTCGCTCTTCCTCCTTCTGCGCCTCCTCCTCCTCCTCCTCCTCTTCCTCCTTGTGATCCTCGGAGTCGTCCCTCCTCCTTCTCCTCCTCGATCCCTTTTCCTTTTAACTCCCCCCTGTCGCGCCCCCAGACGTGTTGGTAGGGAGGGCTGGGCGTTTCGCCTAAGACTTTCTCACCATCGGTGATTCTGCAACTTGAAAATTACAACAGCTTCGCGAATGGAGGGCGGGTGGTATTAAAAATTTGGTTGGGCGCCGTGCACGTTCGTTGGAAGAGTTCGCAACAGTCTCCAGATAGAGGGCGGCTCCTTACAACATGTGGTTCCCGCGTTAGCACCGCGCACATTCGTTTTAAACGCTTGGAGCAGCTTCACGGAAGGAGGGCGGGTGGTTTTCAACATGTCCCTCTCGTTTTGGCGCCGCGCACGTTCGTCTTAAAAGTCTGCAACCGTTTCGTTGATGGAGGGCGACTCCTTTACAGCATGGGGCTCTCGCGCTGGCGCCGCGCACATTGGTTCAACAAGTGTTGAACAGTTTCACGGATGGAGGGCGACACCTTCTGTGGGTATCGCCTCAGCGTCGAGCACATTCGTTAAACAAGTTTGCTAGACTTTTGAAGATTACAACGGTTGAGGTCCCAGGAATGATGATTTGGCATGGTTTCGGATTGTCAGGACGCAACAGTCACATTGATCCGTATAGTTGTTGAAGTCCGAAGAGCGACGTCCTGGCGCGATGCAGGACTGTCAGGACGCAACAGTCACGTTGATCCGCGGCGTTGAAGTCCCTGGAACGGCGTTTTGGCACTATTGCAAATTCTCAGACGATGTCTTCTAATGGGCCCCTTCCAGCCGTGAAAATCAATTCGTGTAGGGACATATGACGGGGGCCTTGGATGGAGGGGTTATTGCAACATCGTTGATGAGTCTCGGGTTCACGCTGGTCCTCGTCCGCCTCATCCTCCTCCTCCTCATCATCAGGATCAGCATCATCATCATCATCATCATCATCATCATCATCATCATCATCATCATCATCATCATCATCATCATCATCATCATCATCATCAGCATCATCATCACCACCACCACCACCACCATCATCATCATCATCACATCATCAGCATCAGCATCAGCAGCATCATCATCATCAGCATCATCATCACCATCACCATCACCATCACCATCACCATCACCATCACCATCATCATCATCATCATCATCATCATCATCATCATCAGCATCATCATCATCATCATCACCATCAATGTCATCGTCATCATCATCATAATCATAATCATCATCATCATCATCATCATCATCATCATCATCATCATCATCAGCAGCATCCGCATCATCATCCACATCATAATAATCACCATCACCATCACCATCACCATCACCATCACCATCACCATCACCATCACCATCACCGTCACCGTCACCATCACCACCATCATCATCATCATCATCATCATCATCATCATCATCATCATCATCATCATCATTATCAGCATCATCGTTATCATCATCATCATCAGCATCATCATCATCATCATCATCGTCATCATCACTACCATCACCATCACCATCACCATCACCATCACCATCACCATCACCATCACCATCACCACCACCACCACCATCAGCAGCAGCAGCATCATCCGTAGCCATTTTGGCTCAAGCTGAGTCTTCATAACTTCTCGCAGGTGCCCCCACTGCGGCGCGCAGTCGGGAGATGTTTGGCAATGGCGACGGGGGGCCGCCCGCAGGCGCGCGGGCGGGGCGGCCCAGCACGCGCAGCACGCGCAGCACGCAGCGCCTGAAGGAGGCGGCCGAGATGGGGGGCGTCCGCGGCTCGCCGAGCTGCGCGGGCGCAGCGCCACCTTGCGGCAGAGGCCGCGGTGCGGGCGCACGCGAGGGCCCGCGGAGGCCCAGGCTCCTGGCAACACCGTGAAGCGGCGGCCCGGCCAGCCCTCTGCAGGGCCGCGGCTGGACAACAGGTTCCTGGAGACGCTCGGAGGCGACGCAACGCCGCCTGGTACGCCGCGCGAACCCCCCAGGGCAATTGGACAATTGTTACGGTGTCACGATGAACTCCCCGACTCCCCGACTGGCCGACTGGCCGACTGGCCGGCTGGCCGACTGGCCGACTGGCCGATTGGCCGAGTGGCCGACTGGGCGACTGGCCGACTGGCCGACTGGCCGACTGGCCGAATGGCCGACTGGCCGACTCCCCGACTGGCCGGCTGGCCGGCTGGCCGAGTGGCCGACTGGCCGACCCCCGACTGGCCGACTGGCCGACTGGCAAACTCCCCGACTGGCCGACTGGCCGACTCCCCGACGCCCCGACTGGCCGACTCCCCGACTGGCCGACTCCCCGACTGGCCGACTGCCCGAGTGGCCGACTCCCCGACTGGCCGACTCCCCGACTGGCCGACTGGCCGACTCCCCGACTGGCCAACTGGCCGGCTGGCCTACTGGCCGACTGGCCGCTCCCCGACTTGCCGACTGGCCGACTGGCCGACTCCCCGACTGGCCGACTGGCCGATCGGCCGACTCCCCGATTGGCCGAATGGCCGACTGGCCGATTGGCCGACTCTCCGACTGGCCGACTCCCCGACTGGCCGAATGGCCGACTGGCCGCCTGCCAGATCGGCCAGTCGGCCGACTGGACTGGCACACTGGCCGACTGGCCGACTGGCCGACTCCCCGACTGGCCGACTGGCCGACTGGCCGACTGGCCGACTCCCCGACTGGCCGACTGGCCGACTGGCCGACTCCCCGACTTGCCGACTCTCCGACTGGCCGACTCCCCGACTGGCCGACTCCCCGACTGGCCGACTCCCCGACTGGCCGACTCCCCGACTGGCCGACTCCCCGACTCCCCGATTGGCCGACTGGCCGGCTGGCCGACTCCCCGACTGGCCGAGTGGCCGACTGGCTGACTGGACGACTGGTCGACTCCCCGACTGGCCGACTGGCCGATTGGCCGACTGGCCGACTCCTCGACTTGCCGACTGGCCGACTGGCCGACTGGCCAGCTGGCCGATTGGCCGACTGGCTGACTGGCCGACTGGCCGACTGGCCGACTGGCCAACTGGCCGAGTGGCCGACTGGCCGACTGGCCGACTGGCCGACTGGCCGACTCTCCGACTGGCCGACTGGCCGACTGGCCGACTGGCCGACTCCCCGACTGGCCGACTGGCCGACTCCCCGGCTGGCCAACTGGCCAGCCGACTGGCCGACTGGCCGACTCCCCTACTGGCCGACTCCCCGACTGGCCGAGTGGCCGACTTCCCGACTGGCCACCTTGCCTCCTGTGGCTTCCTTGGAACTTCCTCTGGAGCTCTTTCTCTTTCTCTTTGTTTTTTTGTTCTCTCTCTCTCTCTCTCTCGCTCCCTCTCGTTATCTATATTTTTTCGTTATGTCTGGTTTGATTATGTTTCATGTGTTTCTATCTCTCTCGGCACTTCCAGGGAGGCCCGAGAAGGCTGTCGGAATATGGTCATGCAATTCCCATGAGCTCCAGGAGGGCCTCAAGGGGTCACGATCTCCTAACCGAGGCTGGAGATTGTGGCGGCGGATCACGGTCTCCTGAGATCCTGTCAGGGCTTCCAGCGGTCTTCTTGAAGCTTTCTCGACAGCCTTCTCTTCCTTCCTCGGAGTCGCCAGGGAGCTTCGAAATGCTGCCAGAGCCCCACCTAGCAATCTCCAGATTCTCCAGGAGGCCCCAAGAAGGCACGATCTTCCCACTGAAGCTGGGGATCGTGGCACATAAAAACGCTTGAGGATGCCGTGTCGCCACCTGCTGAGGTCTCCACGGTGCTTTCTCAGGAGCTCTCTCTCTCTATCTTGGAGCCTCCAAGGAGGCTCGACCAGCCATCCGAATTCCGCCCAGGAGTTCCCAGGGGCTCCAGGACGGCTCCCAGACGCTACGATCTCCGAGCTGAAGCCAGATATCGTACCGGACAGGGAGCTCCTGGGAGGCCCTACCTCTCTTTTTACTTAACAGCTTGTTCTGATAGGTTTCTGATGGTGTCAAAAAAAAACAGCAGATGACTCCACAGGGGGGTCTGGGCGGGTGCCGGACAGGGTGCCGCAGAAGTCGTTTTAAGCCAACAGTCACACACTTCGTGCTCTTCGACCTCCCAGAACTCCATTCCCGGCCCACATTCTGAATGCCCGGAGCCAACTGTCCCGTCTTCGACCTCCCAGAACTCCATTCCCGGGCCACATTTTGAATGCCCGGAGCCAACTGTAGGCCACTTCGTGCTCTTCGAGTTCCCAGAACTCCATTCCCGGGCCACATTTTGAATGCCCGGAGCCAACTGTAGGCCACTTCGTGGTCTTCGAGTCCCCAGAACTCCATTCCCGGGCCACATTTTGAATGCCCGGAGCCAACTGTAGGCAACTTCGTGCTCTTCGATTTCCCAGAACTCCATTCCGGGCCACATTTTGTATGCCCGTAGCCAACTGTAGGCAACTTCGTGCTCTTCGACTTCCCAGAACTCCCA